TGCTGATGAATGATACATACATACTTAACTATTTTTAGAAATTCATATTATTTGTTATTGCTGTAAGTGAAGGTATTTTATTACTTAACCTGGTTTGCTGAGTCTGGTTAGGCCAAGGTTGGATTCAAAGACTAAAGGTTTAACATATTTCAAGACCTAGGACAGTGTCATTCCTAATCAGAGGTGTTGTATTTACTACTGTAGTACCTCCAGAAATTGATCAAAACTCATTAGCGATACCTGTTTCATATTTTCTAATTTCATTGAACTTTTTTTCTAGTCGCTGTAATTTACGAGATTATTATTTTTTAAAGAAAATGTAAACTGTATGTGGTTGTTAATGTTATTTGACGCTGTATTGTTTAAAGTCACTCTATAAAGTACTACTAAATAATTAATGTGTTTTCCTATTATTATTATTATTATTATTATTGGTTTTATAATTTTTGAGATTCATGTATTTGTAGTCTAAAATCAATCAAGCAGCTTTTTGTTTTTGCAGTGGCCAACAATAGAGTCCAATCTGTAAACCAAATTTACTACAAATGACCAACAAATGACCTCTGTTGTAAAATATGTTTGTGGTGAAGTATACTGAATGCCAAGATATGTTTGGGCATTATATCAAATATACTGCATTGCAACTACAGTACCATTAACATAATTGTGGTTTGGCATTCTATCTATGAGTGTGGCTCATTAGAATATTACCCAGATACTCTATTATGATTGTGGTTAGCAGTCTGTGAGCTACTCATTAGCATATTGTGGTTTAGTAATATTATTTTCTGTGAGATTTTAGTTCTCTTGTTAGCATTGTGGTTTTTTTAAGTCTTTTTGTGAGATCATAGCTGCTAGGTTTAGGATGTTGTCATGTAAAACACTGGAAGTATTCATTTTTCTAATTTCCTCCATTGCTATATTTACACCCGCGATGCAGTCATACGCTGTATGTCTGCAAGGGATAGTACCAGCGTACTGTAGTCACCGTTACGCGTATCCGACAGACTAATTATGTTGCACAATTCATCAACGAGGACGGCGTAGGTAGCAGAACTTGCTGATAGTAAAATGAAACATGTTTAATTATTCAATAAACATTGCCAAGAACCTTTTTTTTTCTGGTTGTTATTTCACCAGAGGGAGGAAGGTTGTTGATCTCTGAGATAAGGTGATACAATGTCATTAATTACCATCTGTGTACTAGCTATTTTGTGGTTTTTGGAATTTTCACTATAATTCAATTCATAGCATCTGAAGTCAGTCAAGTGTTTTATTAGTTGAGTTAAGCTTCTAAGCAATACAGTACACTATGAACTACAGCATACATTTGAAAGGTCAAAGAGAGGTCAAATGAGAACTTTAAGTCTAGAGAAATATCAAGGCATTCATCTTGGCTTTATCTATATCTTGATATTGAGCCCAATAACACTTATTAGGCTGGCTTAGGGCTGGCCCAGGGCCGCCTTAAATTACGGCCGACTCAGGGCCGACTCAACGACATTTTCGTTCACAGTGATTGTTTTAAGTCGGCCCAGGGCCGCCTTACGAACATTCACATTTCTCCTTTGGGCCGGGTCGATGAATAATCACAACCTAGAATAAACAAATGGAATTCACGCGAAACATGAACCTAATTTTGAATATTGTCCTTATACTTTTCGATTTTTTAAGCGTAGCACTCCGCTTCATGACTATGGCGGCGACAATTATTATAATAACCAAGGCCTATAATTAGCGCAGTTCGACTTTACTCTGTGCAAAACCAGACTCGCAATTTTGAAACTCCATACCTGTATGGATAAACTGTATAGGCCTTTGTAAGACTGAAGGTTGCTGTCAATGTTTGGTCACAGACCGGGGACACAGATTGTGAATAAGTAGCATCAAGATCTATCTATTTGGCAATAATAATTATTTTCATGTTAGGTTCATTCGTTCATTCACAAACAATTTTTAACGCTTTTTAGAACCAGCTTCACTCATAACAATAACGAACGATTATTTTTTTTCCATCCTCGGGGTCATGTGAGTAGCTTCACAAACGTTGACACAAAACGCATGTGGTTGGTGAGGATGATGTTCACAGAAAGAATGATACCGCTATACAGTGTTAGGATTTTAGAATGTAAACTTGTTAAATTAATGTGTGCTATACAAAAAGTCAGTTCGAATGAATGTTGTGGTTAGATAAGTTGTCAAAATCGACCGCAATCAGAGCGAACTTGGGCGGCTCAGGTTCGGCTTATGTTCAGATTTAAAGTTGGGTCGGCCCAGGGCCAGCCCAAGGCGCTCATTGCAGGACCTGAGCCGACTCAAAAGTCGGACTAACTTTAGGTTGGCTCAGGGCCGGCTTAACATTTATTGATTGTTCTCACTTAAAAATTGCCGACCCTGGGCCGGCCCTGAGGCAGCCCAGGGCCGACGTAACTCTCAAGTGTGATTGGGCTCATTGACATTAATATTATCAAAGACCATAAATGAAAAAATGAAGGCCAAATATAAAATATGATTCTTAATTTCATCCTTTAAAAAAATTTTACAAGGAGAGCACTCAGAAAATCTTGCTGAAATTTATTCATCTTGCTGCTACTAAGCAATGCATGTGTGCCTACCTGTATGCCTGGCCAGTGCCCGCTGTAAGTTCAAAATTTGAGTTTGAGTTTGTTAAGGCCAATTTTATGAAGAAAAATATAACTTTTTAGTATTTAAGAAAAAAATTGTTTCTTTCTGAGCTTCATAAACATTCTTGAGTACATACTATTGTAATATGCACACCTTTCATAGAATACATACATGCACAGAATGTCTACTGTCTTGAAACCTACAGAATATTTACTGTACATCCAAGCAGTGGCGGCTCTAGGATATATTTTCGGGGGGGGGGGGGCTGGCGGCTGGCTAAGTTGTCTGACAGGGGGACTTGAGCTCGTAGGCTCGAGCTGGAGGAGGGGGTTGAGAGGGTTACCCCTCCCAAATGAGATTTTTTTAAAGAATATCAAACTCTGGATGGCCGAAAATCACACTCTTAGACTCTGACAGACATGTGTTGGCTTGGTGTGGGCCTATTTTTTATGTCTTATGGTCTCACCGCCCGATGAGCTCTGTCCGGCGGGGAGCTTAACCTGTCCGGTGGGGGGCTTAAGTCCCCCTGCCACCCCGCTGGCGCTGCCACTGCATCCAAGCAGTATCGTTTGACCAAGGTAGATTTACCCTGTCTTGTTCATAATTATCCAAACACCGCTTAACCATTTCAATTTCCATTGGTGTTGGTGTTTTTTGCTCGAACGGGCCCCAAGTGGGTTTATACAGTACTAGTGTATTTTTTCCGGGCATTCCTGCCAACATAATTTGTAATCTAGAGTATGCCTTTACTTTACAGCAAAAACACTTCGATTCGATACTTACTGTACCAACTATTAAATGTCACGCCAATTCATCAGTATTAATTTTAAATTTTGGTACGTTCTTCTATTGGCCTGTCAACTGTTTTTTTATGTTTTTAAATGAGCATTTTGGAGTCATAAACTTTATTTTAGTAGATTACTCTACAGCAGTCTTTCATAAATTGTCAAGATTTTAGATCTCAAACACCCCTAATTATAAAATGGCTTGGACTAATTTAGAAAAAAAATGACAACTTGCAAATGTGCACGTAGCAGGTCTGCAGTGTAGTGATAGTCTTGTAATGAGGTCATAGTCTAAAGCCTTACCAAAGGTTATACAGGGTATTATTGTTGATGATTGATGGGGATTTTCCCTGGAATTCTGGTGGGTGGTGATGGTTGCATTTACATTTTTAAACTATTTAAATTGTTATTGGTATTTTTAATAGTCGAGTAACTATAGTCCTTACTATGTTTTACTATTTGAAAAAAGGAATTATTGTTTTAATCATTAGATGTTTGATTTTGTCATAGGAATTATTGTTTGAGTAGGCACAAGATTGATTATTTCTATATTTACTCATACTGTACTAATTGTTTACATAAGAAAAATTAATTTCCTGTTTAGTTGAACTTTATCTTTAAATCTGTTTTATGAAGATACAGTACTACAAACCTCTCATATTTTAAATATAAGATGATACAATTGTGCTATCATTTATTGATATTTATAACATATTTTAATTTTAATATTTACTTTTTAGTTTCATGTATATTTTTCCTTTTTCTTAAATGTTGACTTTTAGAGGATAAGAGAATTAATCGATAGTTTGGATTTAATCACACATTATGATCGTAACAGTTTTTTTATTGTTTTCTGTATTTGTTTTTTCAAAGATATAATAAATAAAATGAAATGAATTTATTATTTTGCTTTTGCTTTTTTTTAGCTTACTCCTATTTTTGAATGAAAATGTTTATAAGAACAAGTACAATTTCTAAATCATTAATAAATCTGATTGATGAAGCTACACTTTTTTTTTTATAAGAACACATTTTATAAGAACACTGAGGCTAAAATTTCTTAAAAATTAACAAAATAAGAACAAATTGAGGCTGAGGTAAAATGTCAAATGAGGTTTAATATGAAAAGTCAAAAAATTATATCTGTACCTTATGTGCAGTAATGTAAGTGTGACATGTAATACCCCCTATAATCAGGTGTACTGTCATTTGGGGCCATTTTTACCAGGCCTTTTTTCTGGGGCAATTTTTCCAGGGAATTTTTTTCAGGGCCCATTATAATTTTCTATATTTGAAAAGTGTGTAAAATAAGAACAAATTAAGAACATTTTGAGCCTGAATCGGCCAAAAAATAAGAACACTGAGCTTGGGCAAAATTTTACTGGTTCTTATAAAAAAAAAAGGAAGTGTATTCTTTAATACTAACATAACCATTGTTTTATTTTGGAGAAAAGTATTTTTAATTTACAGTTAACACACGTTCCAGAAAATAAAGATCGTTTCTCTAATGGTATTATTAATGATATTTATATATATATATTTGGTTTATTTGGTTTTATTTTCACTTGTGCTTATATTCTTGGTTATTAGGGCTGTGCGAGCATTTCAACAGGTTCTGTACATCGATCGTGGGTTCAGCCGTGCAAACGAGGTACAGCTAAGACTCGGACTCATATTTAAAGTCAATTCAGACTACGAAGCAAGCTTGAAACATTTTCACCTTGCTCTCTTAGACTCAAGTCCATGTACCCTTAAAAAACCAGAAAGTAAGTGACATTTTTAGCTTATTCAGAGTTAATGTCATGTACCCTTAAAAAACCAGAAAGTAAGGGACATTTTTAGCTTATTCAGAGTTAATGTGTGTAAAAAGGATGGTACATTGTACTATGGTTGCATTTACCGTATATTCCGGTGTATAAGTCACAAATTTTATACACGATTTTCCCCCGAAGTTTGGGGTGCGGTCTATACACCGGTCAATAACCTACTCCCAAAAAGTTAAGATCGCGAGCCGCGGCGAAAATCAGGCACCGTCTGTCTAGGTTAGGGTCATGCTAGCCCGGTTAGGCTCATGCTAGCCCAATTAGCCTAGGGTAGGACCGGTTTGTAGGCCTAGTATTTGTAATTATACTCACTACAGTGCTGTACTAGGATTCCTACTACGATTTCTACGACATTTAAGCAAATGGTTTGGGTTGTCTAAATAATTCATTCATAATTACGTTCATTCATAAACAATTTTAAAACACGCTGTTTCTGTTCGAAACCGCTTCGCTCAAAAACTACCAAACTACTTTTCGCGAATTTGGTCCTCGAGGTCAGGTGAGCAGCTTCATTTACGATGTCGCAACAAAACACGTGGGCTGGTTGTTAAAACTTGCTGTTCGACGTCTGGTTCCTGGTGGCTTGTACCGTCATAGAGAGAATGATCCGATATAATTTGAGAATAAAAACTTATGAAATTAATTTATGCTATAAAAACACAAGTTTTCTTGAAGTTGTAATAATTATTTTACTGGAATTTAACTTTAGAAAGGCATTCGTCATCTGCGCATGCGTAAGCTTTGTATCACACGATATTTCTCCACTTCTGTTTATGTTTATAAAACGTGGGGCGTGACGAGTGCATGCTTCGCACAGTAGGCTATGAGTAGTAATGACTTAGGCCTAGAATTAACAGTATATTTAGCTTAATAGTATACCGACTTTTATTACCATAATAATAGAATGATTGTTAAAAATATATAAATATAAATAAGTATTTTACTTTATTAAACTAAACTGATGTTGAAAATTTAATGTAGCACGACCGTCTAGCATGAAATGGGGATTTCCCTAGCAGTGGCGGTGCCAGCGGGGGGCACAGAGGGCTTAAGCCCCCCCCCCCCATTGGTCTGGTCATGTCCCCCTTCCCCTGTCGGGCAGTCGGACCAAAAAAAAAAAAAAATAGGCTTAGTTATCCCATCCCAGCCATTTCCAGTCATCTAGAAGTCCCACTTCTCGTTTTGGGAGGAGGGGACACCCCTTCACTTACCCACCCCTAGCTCAGGCCTCAGATAACACTGCATGCTATAGTTACACCCATAAATACTTATCCCCCAGTCAGACATCTTAGCATCCCCCCCCCCCATAAATTATATCCTAGAGCTGCCACTGTTCCCTAGAGCAAGTACAGGTTGTTTCATTGCGGTAGCCAGAAGTTTACACGCATTTCCAGTTGTTTCAGCTGAAAAAGATGAAATTTCTTTATGTGAACATTTGTAAATAATGTCAATGTTTCAAATTAATTAAAAACTTAACATTATGGTAACAGTTTGGAGCTTAATAGGTGCGGCTTATACACAGGTGCCACAAAAAATTGTGATATTTCGCGTCCTAATTAGCGGGGGGGGGGGGCAGCTTATACACAGGTGCGGCTTATACACCGGAATATACGGTATCCATTTCCATCTTATACTTTATGAGGGTGTAAGCAATTGGGCTTATTATTACCGTACATGGTACTTTGTGAGTGTGAATAGGGGAAATGGTGATCATCACAATGTGGTATTTTGCAAGACTGGATAAACCTTTACCATGTATTATCATTGTAAGGATAGAGATGGCAGTCATCACTGTACAGTATGTTGTAAGTTATGAGGATGGCAAAGATGATTTTTTAGTGGGGAAATGATGGCTCTTATCATCATGTCACACTTTGGAAATGGTAGTTTTGTGTCTACTGTCAGCTTGGTTGGAGAAATGATGTGATACCCGCCTTCAAGATTATAGTATTGGCTGTCCAAAAAAACAAAAACAAAAAAAAAACGAAAATTGTGTTTGGGTGTAACCATTGTAAAGATAGTGAGGTTGAAGAGCCATGCAGCTGCCTCCATTTATTAAAAGCTTGGATCTGAATTACTCCGAAAAAATGGATATTATTTTGTATCTGATTTTGCAAGTTGCTGGAGATGGCCGTTAATACCATACCATGTGATTTGGTTATTTCCTATAAAGAAACTATTCCTGTTAATATCATTAGTCTTTGTTAGTATAGTGTTTGATAAACATCCTGGTTCTGTCTATTATAGTGATGTTTGTTCACATGATACTTAATGAATGTGTTTTGATATCCCACATGTTGGGAGATAATGTAGTGCTCACATGATTTATGCTTTCTTGCACATCCTGTTCTAATCCTTCTTTTTAAAAAACAAATTTATCCATCACTTCTTGGCGATCAACTACTTAATATTAAGTTATATTGTCATATAAGTATCAATATATTCTTAAAAATGTCTTTTTTGTTGAAGTTTTACTTTTAAATGTCTTTATATTGGGTTTATTATTGCAAACATATCCTTGTTTATCTAAACTTGTGAACTGCCATTCCAAATCTTGTGGTAAAACCTGTGGCTTGGTCTCACCCAGTGAACTTGAACAAATATTTCTTTGTTTAATTACCTATCCTCAATATTATTGTCATTGTAAGGTGTGATTGGGACAAAGAAAACACCTAAAGTTCTACTGAAACATGTTGCTTGCTTAGAATATGTACTGTTTATAGTGTCACCACAGTCCAAATAGTGGTCCTAAATTGTAAATGATTTGAGGTCAATCAAAGGTCACACTCAACAGATACAGTTAATATATGACCTGCGCTGTGTTTCAGCTGTAATGCAAAAACGCTGTCTTTCGAAAGAGACATTTTAACATTGACCTGTGTGAAATGCCGGATGCATAGCGTATACCCTCAACCATAACTAAACAAATTTTATTAGTTATATGTTTGTGTTACAGTACAGTATAATTTAAGTGTAAGAAGTTTGTCCACTTGTTTTTGTCTCATATAGTATCCTGACAATATGGTTTATCTCCTTTTTTTCAGTCAAATTTCACATTGCACACCTACATGAAATCCAGGTAAGATTTACTACTTCTTCGGAAGAAATATACTGTACTGTTAGTTACTTCGTGGGACCAAATTTTGCAACAACCTGTGAAAAAAATTACAAAAAAGTTGAAGGAAAAAAAACATTTTATATGTTTTGAAGAGCTATAGAACTGATGTAAAAACAAATGTATGTCATGACTGGATGACAAAAACAAACTTAGGCCCCCCCCCCCTAGGTAGGGCTAGGCCTTAGGCCTAGGTAGACCTGCTGAGTTAGGCCTAGGCCTAATCTAGGACCCTCTAGTAAGCCAGGCTAGCCTAGGCCTACTTGCTTGATACATTTCGGTAGTCTTGCTTCTCAAAGGACAAATAGTTTTAAGTTATACCTCAACATTTACAAATCTTATTAGGCCTTTGCCAAACTGATTTTCTTAACATGTGTAGGCCCGTGCAACCGTTTCCAGGGCAGGCTTGGTAGACGGGCCTAGCTAGACCGCCCGCCGCACTGCCACTGACCCATTCAAATACACAAGCCTAAACCTACTAGTTAGGCCTGCCTGACAAGGGTGATTCATGACAAGTACAGCTAGCAATACGTAGCATCGTAAAATCTTCTCCTTCCTCCTTGTATTCTCCTTCTCCAATCTCGCCCGACTTGAAAGCATGAAACAATTCATTATAATGGATATTTTTTGCGAACCAGATGGTTTATGTTTTAAATTTATGAAAAAATATATCATTTTTGGAGATTTCAAGGCAGCAGCGGGTGTAATATAGAAAAACTTTTTTTTTTACATTTTCATGGTGGTTGGTGGGCTAATTGGCCAAATATAAAATTGCTTTATTTAAAATCATCATTATTGGCGGGTGACAGGTTCGCTAAACAAGGTAAAGCTAAAAATGTATTCTAATATGTCCAAGTTCCATTTTCGGGTGTGCTGTAAAATTTGCCTTGGAAATTTCCCCTGAAAAATTGTGTTGGAAAAAATGGTTCCAGAAAATTCTCCCAATTGATGGATCATACAGTATGTACTTATGATCCTCTTTGCTAGAATTTTTGTAATTTTTTATTATATAACACTGTACAGTAGAAACCCTCAATTACGAACCCTTATTTAACGAATTCCCAATTTTACGAACATAAAATCAAGGATATGACATCATAAAAAGTGAAGTGAAAAATAAAAAAATCCGCTCGAATTGTAACTGTTAGCATGCATAAAACACAACACACCATACTATAC